CTTAAGTATAACGAAGTCCATGTCGAAGAGGAAGAAGCAGAAGACGAATCAAAAGGTTATCCCGTGTCCTATGGATCCTCCTTGGTACAATGTAGAAGGAGTAAAGGAAGGTTAAAGGTGACGATGAGTACCGATGAATTCAATAGTAGATATAGAAACAAAAGTGTGCAACGCACGTTTAGGACATTCCTCTTCTCGCTCGACGAATCTTTCGAGCGCTTACGATCGACACTCACGCGACACCGGAAATAGTAGTAACGCGTAGACAGTAGTCAAACATTATCGCTGGACCTATGTGAACCAATCAGGCTCCACCGAAAACTCTTATCAATGCACCCTCGCGATCGTAGATCTAACTCGAAAATAATGATTAATAAATAGAAAGTGAGAAAGATAAAGAGAAAAAAAGTTTTGTCGAATGTTCGCGCGACGATGTTTTCACAAACGAAACAAAGCAACTAAGCCAACGCGCGTGACGGCTCGGCGTCGACTGAGACTCCAGCGTGAGTGCTCTCGACAGTCGCGCGGTATCCCCACCACCGCGTATCGCCGCCACCATCGTTGTCGTCGTCGTCGTCGTTGGTAGGCGCGTTAAGAGGTGGGGGAGTTACGAGGACGAGAGCGCGAGACAGGCGTTCGACCGCGCGAATCGCCAAGAAAGAAAATGTCTTCTCTATCCTTCTTTATCTTTTACTATTTAATTTCTTTATCTACATATACGTATATATATATGTATATATATTCTATGGATTATGATTTTATTCATACATCGTATTCTCTACCTTACTCTTCTCTTTCTTTCTATTAATAATTAATTGTTGGTTAGTTACTACTATTGAAAATTATTTTATATATTAATAATTATGATTTATTTTTTAAACAAGATATTTCCAAGGAGAAAAATATTTGTTATTACTTCTTCCATTTATATATCATCATTCGTAAGAATGTAAATAATAAGTAACAATGATTGATTGTTTACACTCGAAGATAAAATAAAGCTGAACGATATATAAAAAAACCATACGTATAATTATTGTTTAATGGCATTGGGTTAACATGATAATACATTAAGAGGGTCATCTTTAGCAAGAGGAAACAGACCTGATTGACGGAAAAGTAAAGGGAAACGTAGGAAGCGGATAAAGAGAGTGTGAAAGGACACGAAGAACAGGAAAGGAATAAGAACAAAGAGGCCGCAGACCCTTCCTCTAGTTCGATGCCCGACTAGCAGTCTGCACAATGCACCCTATGCTATGCACTGCTCTTTCTCTTTCTCTTTCTCTGTTCCTTTTTCTTCTTCCCTTTCCTTTCGTTCCTTTCTTCAACCAGTCCAACCTCACCGATCTGCTTGCTTCTCCTCTCTCTTTCTTTTTCTTATTCTCCCTCTTACTATCTCTATCTCTCTTTTCTCTGACCACAGACCGTACGTTGGTCGCAGCATTTGTGGTTTCAGTCGTTTCGGCATTATTCCCTATCGCTTTCTCCGAATTTCATCTCTTTCTTTTTACCACTTCTACTAATCCTCACACATCTACTTTAAAGTAGGAATCGAACAATTCCGTTTAAATACTTGTCTATTCCTTTTTAGAGATTATCGAGGACGAAGGAAAGATCGAAGTAAAAAAGGAGGAAAGAGAGAGAGAGAAAGAGAGAGAATACAGTCTGGACGCAGGTGTTTCCTCGATGGAAATACTCAAGGATGGGATGGTAGGAAAACGTAAAAAAAAAAACGAGAGGAGAGGGGAAAAGAAATCGCGGAAGGAAGGGCACTCGAGCGCATGAGAAAAGAGAAGGACTCTGGCATCTCTCGGGAAGAAGAAGAAGAAGAAGAAGAAGAAGAAGAAAAAGAAAGAGAAGGAGAAGAAGGGTGTATGAGTTCGCTTCCTTTCGTCGCATTAATAAGTGTAAACCTTCGTAAAACTCCCACTCACACACCCACACACACTCTCTCTCTCTCTCTCTCTCTGAAGTTTAAGGAACCTTCAAGAACCAACCAATTAAATCGCGCTTCGCAAATTAACTTTGGTAATTATGAGTGGGCTTCGAGGACGGCGCGATGAGGAAGGGTTGGAGCGGCTGGATTACAAGCGAGACGGCGGCAGGAAAACTTCACAACTTTTCAGTCGCTTTTTATGCAACTTTTCTTGTTAAGACTGGGATTATGAAATTTTGGCCCCGGACGGTTCTCCTTTACCACTTACGATCCTTCTAATACGTACGTATTTCGTATATCAGACGAGCTATTTTTACGACAGATGCCTGATTATCGGACGATTCTCGTAAGAAAGAAAGAAAAGAAAAAGGAAAGAAAGAAAGAAAGAAAAAGAGAGAGCGAGAATAGTATGAATCATAGAAAAATTGTTCAGTTGGAAACGCAAGATAGGAGTTAACTGTAATAAAGCCGATATCAAAGTTGATCCTCCTTTATCCGGAAATTAAAGCGCGAAAATCGATCTCACAACTTTTCGTCATTCGACTATGAATGAAAAAAAAACGATATTTCTCTATCTTAATCTTAATTTTAATCTTTCTCTCTTAATCTTTCTCTCTTGTCTATTGCATTGAAAAATATTCGAGGATCGATCGAGAAAGTCGTCAAAGAGAATTTATCCTGGAGTTTCTTTGAATAAGGATAAATCATTTAAAAAAAAAATAAAAAAAAATAAAAAAGAAGAAAGAAGAACTACAGAAGAATCCTTTTTCTTTGTCTTTCTCATTGAAACGCAACGAAGAGACAAGGACGGACGTACGCGCGCAATTCGAAAAGGGGTTGTAACTCATTAGTTAAGGATAATGAGACGGAAGAAAAAAGAGACAGACAGAAAGTAACATAAAGGGACAATGACCACGTACGCAAAAGTACGCGTTTACATGCATACATTTGGTTCGGATACACGATCTACGATGATGGTGAAAAACACGTGTGAGAAAGGAAAAAAGAGTAGAAGATAAAAGGGACGAAGAAAGAAAAGAAACCAAAGATAACAGACGGTTTCTTGCCTTTTATCGTGACCAGCTTTCGAAAAGGACGGGTAGTAAGATATAGGAGAGTGTTGAAGATAGAGAGAGAGAGAGAGAGAGAGAGAGAGAGAGAGAGAGAGAGAGAGAGAGAGAGAGAGAGAGAGAGAGAGAGAGAGAGACAGAGAGAGAGAGAGAGAGAGAGAGAGAGGTAAAGAAAAAGAAAACGAAAAAGGGTAGATATACTTCTGTCTCTTACCAAAAGAGGAAAGCTTTCGTGGTGACGAGGAGACTTTTAATTAGCGCCCTGTGATCTGTCAAGCATTTGTAGTTTACCTTTTCTGCATCTCCGACATCACCGCAATCTTGTGATTCGTATGTTCGCACAAGCTAACCGATGCGCGAGGCAAACACTGGAATTTGACGATATTTGTGCGACGACGCAGTCACGTGTTCCTGTTCGTTTCATTTTCTTTCACCATAGCTTCTCCTCGTGGCATTGCCAAACGTATTTCTGTCTTTAGTTCTTTCTGACTCTTTCGCTCTCTCTCTCTCTCTCTCTCTCTCTCTCTCTCTCTCACTCTTCGTTTCTCATCGAGCTTACATCCCTCAAGAGAATGCACTCCCAAGCTCCAAGTAATTTGCTAACGATAAGAAACTGCGAAGAGTCTAACGGGAAATGATCAAAGACGACGAAATGAATAACTTTGCGATCAAGCTTCGAAGGAAGGAAGACATCATCGTTCTCAAGAATATATATATATATATATATATATATAAAACTTTCTTTCTTTTATTTTTTTTTTTTATTCTACTTCTTTCTTTCCTCGCGAACTTTCTTATCGTCGAGAAGAAATTAGTTTCCAAAAGTGCGTTGACTTGACGATATCTCTTTGAAATGCACGCCAACACGCAATCGCATACGTAATCGCGTCGGTTTGAAGTTCGCGGTAACGCTCGGCAAAGGGCAGCCGTGAGACGATCAGGTTTCGTAAAAGCGGGTCGAGGTAAAACAGGGCAGCTATCTGCCGCACCATCTTTTATTTATCGTCGGTCATTATGCCGTCTCGTGCGCACGAGTCAGCCCTTTTTTCTCCCTCCTTCCTACTTCCCTTTTTGATCATAGCCAAAGAACGGTCAACAAGAACGTTGATGAAGATCGAGAAAAAGTTCTTTAACACGTTGTGAATCACATGAAAATAGCCCGGCATCCAACGTGTTAAACGTACCTTTTGTGTACATCTGGTCATCGTTTATTCGTATAACAAAACAATCGCATGATATAACAATTTGTACAATGTAACAAGGATTAATCTATAAATAAATCATATATAATACATATCCTGACGAATTTATGATGATATAACGACATTAATCTTATTGTTACTTTAAAATAATCGATCTATTTTGTGACGAATCTAATATTACAGTTGTATAATTAATAACAATGAATGATCGATAAATAGAAAATGATCACTTTAACTGTTTCAATGAATCTAACAAGATAAATGTTGTCAACGATATGAATTTTCTATGAGTTCACAAAGAACGATCACAAAAGCGTTTGGGAAACTTGGAAAAAAAAAAAAACAAGAAGTTGATGTCATAAGGTGGCTTCTACCTTTATAAATTCATTGCACTCTCAAACAGTTCCAGCATCCTCTTCATCTCCTTACTGAAACGCAAGCGAAACGGGTTCGGTATAGTGAGCCGGCGAATACGAGACTATGCATACAGAGCGAAATGACTGTTTGACCTGTTTTAATATTTATGGAAATCGTTGCAACAAAATTAACCGAAACAGCTTTTATTTTTCATTTACAGTATCATCTGTCCTTTCTTCGTTTAATCTTTTATCTCCATTAAGTCTCTTTCAAAATTACTTGTAATCAAACAAATGGATAGAAACGAATATACAATCGAATCGGCATATACTTTAATTTCGTACGATATGATATAATTTAAATTGTCGATTTAAAAATGAAAATTTTTCATTTATAAATATAATGTCTTTTTATTAATAATGAATAAATACTTACATTTGCTCTGCCAACTTATAAATTGGTGCCATATATTTTGATAATTCTTCACACTTTGCCATTAACTGATACATAGACTTTATATTGTGATCTACGGCATCGCAAGTTTTACATACTGCATCCCTATAAGTTTCCAAACAACCTACCGTAAGCGCGGACGCCTGCAAAGATTATAATTTTATATTATCATAGATTGTTCAATTCATTGTTAAAGTAAATTAAAACATTACATACACTATGCAAAATAGCAGCAAGATTTTCTGTAAGAGCATCAACAGATGTAGCTATCTTTCTTGCTTCCATTTCTAATTCATTTAATACATTATGATCAAGTAAAGGTAACTGTGGGGTTAATGCTTGTCTATATAAACAAGGAGTAGAACTTCGTGATCCTGGGAAAGAAGGAGTTTCTCCCTTTTTTGTAACTGGACTGGACAATTTAATCTTATTTTCCAAGTCTTCCGTTACAAACAAAACCATATCTCCATCCTGCATTACCGTTCCTTCTAATTGT